ACAAGTCCCCGGCGCGGCGGGTCTTCGTCTCCCGCTTCGGCGCGGACGGCCGCTGCGTCGAGGTCGACTACGCGCAGTTGGAGATCGTCGTGCTGGGGGTGCTGTGTGGGGACCCCCAGCTCACCCGCGATCTCGCCCGCGGCGTCGATTTTCACGTCCGCCGCGCGGCGAGTTTTAGCGGGCTGCCGTATCGCGAAATCCACGAAGGGGCGCAGCGGGGGGTGCCCAAGTACGTCCAACTCCGCCGCACCGCGAAGCAGTTTTCCTTTCAACGCCTGTACGGCGCCGGGGTCGCGTTGCTGCATCGCACGACGGGCCTTCCGATTCCCGCCCTGGAGGCTTCGATTCGCGCCGAAGATGAGGCGTATCCGGGGATCGCCCGGTTCCATCGCCTCGTTCGAGGGGTCGCGCTGCGGCCGAATAACCCCGGGCTCCCCACAGGGCTTCTCGTGGAGCTCCCAACCGGGCTTCGGATGAGTTTTCGCACCCGCGACGTCGTGCTGAACCTCCCACCGTTGAAAAACTATCCCATTCAAGGCTACGGCGCCGAACTCGCGCAGATGATGCTCGGGCGGCTGTTTCGCCATTTTAGAAAGCGAGACTTCTACAAGGGGAAGGCGTTTCTGACGAACTTCGTGCACGACTCGGTTTGGTTGGATTGTCATATCGACGTCCTCGAGGAGTGCGTGCGGGATACGTGCCGGATACTGAGCGAGGTCCACACCTACGTGCCGAGTCGATTTCCCGGGGTGAAGATCGGGATCCCGCTGAAAGTGACCGCCGCCTGTGGGTTGGATATGTGTTCAATGCAGAACATTCACGACGATGACTATTCGTTGGTGTACACGCAAAAACGGAACCCGGTGGAGGTGGGCGCGCTCGACGTGATGCCGACCCTGAACGATCCAGAGCTGATGCAGGAGGGGATTGAGGTCTGAAAAAGAAGAGGAGAAGAAACGAGCCTCGGTCATGGCGGCACCGTCGTGAAAACAAAAATAATATATATATATATATATTAGATAGATAGATGGATAGCGGGTCGCTCCGCAACTCCAATACCAACAACAGCAAAACAACTCGGAAAGCAGGGACGACCTCAAGCGGGTTGGCAATGACATCTCTACGTATTGATAAATTGCAGAACGGTTGCATTAATACACTTGGTTAAAGTCGAATGACTTTTAGACTTCTAAATAGTAAAACCACCCCAACCAAAAAAAAGAAAGAACGACAGTGTGGCTGTAATGCAAGCCTTGCTAAAAATATATCGTGTGTGTGTGCGTCCGTGCATGCTTTACTTTTACGCAATCTTGCGTCTCCTTTATCTCTTTTTTTTTTTGGCCGCTCCATTTTTATGCCCTCACTGCCATGCACACTGAAGCAACGACAGTGGGTGTGTTTCATGAAGAATACCTTTATTATAGTATCATCGAATAGTTTATTAAATTGATTTATTAACATTTCCTTCCCTCCCACTCGCTAGCTCTTTCCTTCCCGTCATTCCCCCTCCCTGATTCTAGCCATGCATTCTGATAAAGAGTTCTCGCTTGTCGGCTTGCTAGTGGAATCTGGGGAACCGAAGAACTTTGAATCGCTCAAGATTGTGCATAACACCTCCGCGAGGAAACACGACGACGATGTAGGAGAAGATGAGGAAAGACTTGTTGTGATGATTTCGAACGATGTGTTCGTCGAAAATGTTCCTGTCAAGACGGTAATTAAGCGCCTAAGCACCCCAGAGCGCATTCGTCGACTTACCGATAAGCTCTCCGCCGAGGTACATGAGCTGATGGAACGGCACGACGTGCGTAAGAATAGGCAACGGACGATGAATTTCACCAAATCAAGCGCGCTGGCGAAATCCCGACAGCCCTCCTGTGCAAGGCCTACAAACCCACCGATGAAAGCAGCATCTAAGACTAGTAAGAATAACTCAGGCAATGGGGTTCTTCCGGATATTTATACCTATTTTAAGAACTCCAGAAGCCGTCATTTGATGAAAGCACGGCAGAACAAGGTTGTATTCCCCCTTACAGGGAAATCTGATGGTTGCTCTAGCAAGGGTCTTGATGGCTTTAGCATGCGCTTTAATGTGGATACGGTCAACTGTTCAAAGAACACTCCAAATTAATTGCCCTCCGCGTGAAAGGAGCGGCAACGCCCTAAATTGGACTCGTTATTTTCCTTTTAATTTGCCGTGTGGGTTTGTGTAGATGTGTATGTGCTCACTTTTCTGGTCCTTTTATTAAAGTATCTGAGAATTGGAAAGCAGAAGATGTATGTTATATGGTTATATATCCCCTTCACTCCCTCACCTTCCTCCCCTTTTCGAAATGTTTTTTTTTCATCATTACTATTCCTTGTCTCACATTACGGGTGTGAAAATGCGATGTAGACTGCAAACGTTCAATTTAACAATCATAATAAAAAAAATGCTGCCAATTCGTTGGGGATACAAAAAAAAAAAACTAGAGAATGAACGGGAAGAAGCATCGTCTTCGCCACGTGATATTTCACAACCTACCCTTCAAATTGTTCGCCTTTTGAGACTACTATTATTCCTTCCTTTTTATTCTAAGTTTAAGACCAGAAGAGGTGTTCATCCCTCAAGCCTAAGCCCATCTCTCTCCCACGCTTTTTTTTTGTAGGTTTGTGTGTTGACGGTGCTCGCAAGAACCCCAAACAACAACAACAAGAAAAAATGTCGAATGGGGAAGCCCTCGTCGCGGAGGTCAAGGCGAGTTTACACTCCCTGGAGGTCTGTCGGGAGCACCTGGAGAATTTGCTCGCCTTTTACGCCGACCAAGCGAAGTGCCTCGAGGCCTTTGAGAAGGAGGCGGTGGAGCACGCGCAGGTCCTCGCCGCCTCGCGGGATCGTGAAGGGCGGGAAAATCTCCTCACCTCCGCGAATGACGTCCTGATCGCCTCCCTCGCGCGTTTTCTCGGGGACCGACAACGGAAACATCTGGAGTGTTTATCCACCTACACGGAGCGCGATCCCATTGTGGATG